ACTATATATATATATATATATATTAATACAAAGTTTAGCAATGTTTGGACCTTACATAATTTCTTTATTTATTTTTACTAGTGATAGTAAATTATCTATCAACTAGATTTTATAACTACAGTTTCATCTTTACATTTAGGAAATCAGGAATAATGAGTATATTTAATGTATAATATATTTATACATATCACATGTATACACTTTTATTATATTATACGTAAGTTATAATTGAATGATAAAACTTATCTATTTCATCTGTTATATACCATATTGCTACAATAATTTATTTATTATGTTTGTACTTTTAATCATCAGGAACATTCTCTAGTCCCTATAAAAAAAGTAATTAAATATGAATAAATAAAATCATTTGAATTCATATAAAATATTGTAGTTTATAAATATATTAAGTTACTCTAAACAATAAATAACAAGAAGGGGCTACAAGCCAGATCTATACTAATAATAATATCTAAACTAATAATAAGGTTGAAATGTATGTTCTAAGAATTTGAAATACATAAAAATCTGACGTGTAGCCTCTTCTTGTTATTTATTGTTTATTATTATTGAGCCATTATAAGATTATTTTTATTTAAGTTACTCTGTTTTGCCATGGGGCTCCATCTACGCGAACATCTCTTGTAAACATATGGCGATCCCACTCCTGTCTCAAATCTCTACGCATTGGCTGAAAAGAAAAGTCGAAAAAATAACATCTCAATTCTATACAAACTAGGAAAGGAATTTGTATTACCAATTCTTTTGATCTTTTCCGAAGTTTTTTCTCATAATTTTAACTTATTTAAGTAGCATCAGACTACAATATAGTAAAGTATTTTGTAAAGATTTTACAACAATTATAAAATTTGAATCGTCTGAATTCCATCAAGTTCTACAATTGTTGACGTCCAACAAATTGAACATTTTATTTCTAAAAAAAAAATCTCTTTTTCATAACAAAACTGAAACAATCCTTAAGAAATAATTAATCTTTTTAAAATTTTCCGAATCAAAATATATAGATATATAATTTTAGATATAATACATATTAATTTAATAAGTTCTTGAATTTTATGAATTTAGCGTTATTATTGGCTAAATACATTTTATTATTACAATTTTATTTTTATACAGATTCATTTAAAAGTAAGAAATGTGTCTTTAGCTTGGAAGTTATTAACTTATTTGCAGACTTCTCAAGGGTTTCAAACTATTACCTACCTATTTATATCCTGTTTTTCTCATAAATTTATAAATTGTTCCTTAAGGATTGTTCCAATTGCTATGAAAGAGGGATTTCTTAGAAACAAAATGTTTAATTTGTGTCGAGTATTAACATTAATAATTGTTACAAATTTACAGAGAGGTTATGTCGTACAAAACATTTGCGTACTCACATTTCCCAGAGTGAATAGATTTAGATAATAAGCTGCCCATTGAGGTATTATGGGTACCATGCCTATTATCACCAACGATGGAATTATTTCATACCACATAGCTGTTGAATTTTCACAAAATAATACTAAATAATAGTTTCTAAAAACTCTGTTACGAAATCAGATGTAACCTATAATCTACGCATGCGTCAGTCTACTGACAAAGATTTTCTGCCTGGGCTATGTTCAGATTCCCACTCGAGTGCCACTCAGGTATCACTCTATCCTTGTTATTTACCGAACGTTAAACAAGAATGACACGACACCCGAAAAACACCCGGGTGAGAATTTGAACACGAGCCAGGCTGCAGCTGAACCTTATTTATCGTTTTTTCTCTTTCCAAATTTAATCATATGTCTATCCCGTTTTTCAAGTACGAAGAATCAAATAAAAAGAAAAATTAAAAATCCGGTTTATTAACACGTTTGCATGTAAATTTTATGTTTTCAAGTTCTTCGGATATTATTTACCTGATTTCACGAGTGTTTATAATAAAAAATTTTAATTAGGGGATAATTCCATTTATATACTGTTTGAATATCGAACATTTTTATTGGCGACTGTCGGTGACGCGTTTTATTTTTTCAATGAGAGATCGATCCGGAGATCGAATTCCACGTGAAGCCGCAATGACAATCCGCATGATAATTGTAGAGTAATTAAACGCGCTTAGCCGAAGCTTCCTCAGAGGGCCGTAGCAACCGAGCGAAGAGTTGAGAAGTTCAGATTAGTTGAGAAGGTGTTTAGCTTATTGTTAGACGATAGATACGGTGGATATGAAGAGGCTATGGATATCTAATCGGCTATGTATCGAGTCCAGTGATTAATTTTAGTCATTTCAATCGTGTAACTTCCTTCGCACTTCCTCAAGTACTTTTATTTAGGGCGTTCAGATAACGCTGATGCGAGAGATTGCGTCCTGGCCGGCCGGCGGTGACGCGACACGTGTTATCGACAAACATACATATCGCTTGAAAATTGAAATAAGGTAACGCCGTCGCGGGTTCTTTAGGCCCGTTTAAATTCACTCACGCGTTCACGATTTCTAAATAATTTCAAGAGTATGGTACGTACATATGACACAGTGATCTTGAATAATTTGTACTGTCGACACAAAAATTACATTATCTGAATTATTGAGTCGAGATTTATCATCAAATAATCATACGACGTGACGAGACATTTCATGTATTGTGCAATCTCTGTTGTGCTCTGTTGCAGGTCAAACTAGGAAATATTCAGCCACCAGAGATGTTGCTGCGGATATATTCGTTGTGCATCTTAGGATTGGATCTCATGACACTCGTCATCGGAGTGTGCTACACAATCTTGATCGCTGTCTATAGAATGTTTAGACCGCCACCGTTGAAAAATCTCGACTATGAAGTGGCTATGGTACACATTGTTACCATCTATTTCTTGTCAATGCAAACCTTTTTACATTACAAAGGAACGTCATAATTTAGGTCGTAGGTGCAGGACGTGGGATAGGCAAGGAACTTGCTCTACAGCTGTGTCAATGTGGTGTCGTGGTTGCTTGTGTAGACATTAACGCAGAAACTTGCACTGCTACCGTGCAACGTGTTCAACAGTTACATGGAATATGTAAAAGCTATCAGTGCGACGTGAGAAATAAAGATGCAGTATGTCCAAGCACATGTATTTCTTTTCTTAATAATCATTTGGTCTTTGATATGTTATTAATATGTCGATATTAGGTTGCTCAAATTGTGAATCTTATTAAGATCGAATTAGGAAACATTACCATGCTTTTCCATTGTTGTGGTTTGCCCAGTCCACGTGCGTTAATACAAGAATCGTCAGAAGTAAGAGACACTATGGATTTATCAGTCATCAGTCATTTTTGGGTGAGTAATACTTTAATATGTATCTATAAAATCCTTAGTATAATCAATGTCCTTTCTTTCGTAGTTGTTGGATTCAGTTTTGCCATGTATGCGACAAGCTGGTAAAGGCCACATTACGATCCTCTCATCCGTCGCTGGTCTTTCCAATGGCTCTAGTGGTCGAGGAACCCGGGTTCCCTTGTCTACTGCACAATTTGCTGTCCAAGGATTAGCAGAATCCTTGCATATGGAATTAAGACATTCCAATAGCAACATCATCGTTTCATTGGTTCACGTTTATCCCTTTATCGTTGGAATGGAAGTTGCAAAAGACATACGTTTTAGGTGTTCAATATTTGTAAACTATACATTTAATTTCTTTCTTATATGTTAATTTTTATTATCATCTATGCGACGGTTTTAAATTATTCTAATTTCTGAAAACCGCGTTTTGCAGAATACCGAGTTATTTTGGTACAATGCCTGCCGCAGAAGCTGCTAGACAAATTTTAGATGGTGTTCGTCGAAACTACGCGGAGTTTAGTGTACCAGGATATTTGCTTTATCTTGGACATGTACTTAGGTAAATTCGCTACTTATATATTATGTCTCTATTCGTGTACAAGAGGAATGATCTAATATGTAAGTTTCTTACGTTTTTAGAATTCTTCCAAAAAAGGCATCTTTTATGTTACGCGATTTGTTAGACACTGGAGTTGACTTTGCGTAATGTTAATAAAAATATATATATGTATATATAATATTTTACAATTATATGTATAATTATGTATATTTTATTATCATAATGTATGTGCAAATCACGATTGTATTTAATTTTTCTCAAGATATAATGGTTTAACTTCTTGGTTTAACTAATGGATTATCAATCTTAAAATTCTTGCTGCATAATTTCTCAGCGAAATATGTTTTCTAATATTTTTTATATTTATAAGTTGTTTTTTATAATGTATATTTTACTTACTTTTTAAGAGAAAGAATGCAACAAATGTGAGAATTTATGTAACAAAAAATATTTTATTACTTTTCTATACAATGCAGATTATATACGTTCATGAAAAAAATTGTTTATTACTTTCATATGATAGTATGACGTTAAGTGCACTCGATTCTATTTTATACGTTTTAAACTTAAGCATAATTATTTTAACTTTTAACATGTATGACATATATGTAATGTTGAGACTGATTTGTAATTTAATCTTTATGCATCAACAGTAATACATATATGTAACATTAAGACTGATTTCTAATTTAGTCTTTATACATAATAAATTCAATTGTAAAAATAATGTACTTATTCTTTTATCGCAATTAATGATTAAATAATATTTCTGGGTAATACTCACAACGCAATTTTGAAATAGATACGTATCATCAAACAAAACTATTTAATTTATAACACCTGAGCAGGCAAGAAAGAAATGCAGACCGAAATAATCATTCACGAGCGCATTTGTATATAAAATTTAAAAGACACATTAATTATAAAAGGAAATATTTTCTGCTAAGCAAATAATTAAGGATGTATCTATTTTCTTTTTCCCAAAAATTCATGTATTTTATGTGAAATAAATTTAACAGAGATAAATTAAATTGTATTTTAGCTTACACGATTGATATTCTACAACTTATTTCTTTATATAAGTATATGCAAATAAAAATTAGAATCTAATCAAAATTAAGAAAATTGTTATTTATAGAAAATTGTTTAAAATATATATTTTTTAATATTAAATTATCGATAGTATATGTATATTTTAATATTACTACAAATAATAATTAAATACGAAGTCAAATAGCATCTACATATTCTGCTATATTAGATACCGAAAAATGTATTTAGGTTACATTTGAAGATCCAAAAATAAAATAGATTTATAAAACTAATGATAATATATAATGTTAAACTAATTAAAGAAAATTATGTATATCGAGAATCTCAATTGCTGTGTTTAGATTTCATTGAATTAAATCATCTGTAATTTTAGTTTTTTTACTTACACATTTAATGCTAAATATTAGCCGATTGAAATACTTAGCGTCAAATGAAGATATAAATATAAACTATTACCAACAAAATATATAACTAAATGTCGCATATAGCGATGCAAAAAAAATACTGTACATTTACAAAACAAATTTATCAATGTTAAAATACTCAGTAAACGATGTTTTTGGTCCTAACACTGGAATGACTTTATGCTAATCTAAACCGGGAGGGGCTGGTTCCGAAAGATCAATTTCCATTGTATCTGGTTTTTGATCATTCGAATAATCACCACGTGGTGCCTGAAAGAAATTGATGGAAGAGATATTTTTTCGAGAAAATACCGCGTATTTATTTTAAAGAATTATATTATAAAGATATAGGGCTCAAAATATCGCTCCTTTATATACAGGCATCTTTACTCACAATATCAAACTCATCGAGCATGTCACAGGGCACTTTACCCTGTATAACATCCATTATTGATTGCGGAATGTGTGCTTTCTAAAAAAAAAATATACGATATTAAATCTTATGTGCGGTAAAATATCATTCAAAAAATTGTTTATTATATTTATATATATTTTTAGTTTACAATTTTTAATATTTATTTATATTTTATTTATTTATATTATTATATATTATATTTATTTATATTTTATTTATTTATATCTTTAATATTTATTTATCGAATAATGAAGATTGCGCTTAATTTATACCAATAATATAAAGAGAATTTCAGTCATATTCATTCAACATGTGTAAAGTGTATTAAAAAATATACTTTAAAATGTACTACGAAATTACCTGATTCTCGGCAAAAGCTTCAACATGGGTCAGCAAAGGAGCACGTAAATTGCTCGCCATCCGAAGAGCCTCTGCTAACTGTGCCGGTGGTAATTGTAAAATAACGGCGAAACTTTGTGGTTGCGTACGTTCGCAGCACTTCACGAAGCCTTCCCACACTTTTGGCTGTTTCCATACTTGCTTCAGAATCAGTCGTTGAAGTATGTTCATAACAAATCCACTTAATCTGGGATAAAGGGCCAAGCTTTGTATGACTGTACGCATTAATAATGTCGGTAAAGGTGTCATTTCCATAAGATGTTGCATCACAACGGCGACTGTTTCCTGCGTGTACGCTTGTTTCTCAGCAAAACAAAGAGATGTTGCTGTATACGAAAGAAAAAATCCCGTAAAATTTATGTCAATAAATTTTCTCTCGAGGAAAGTAAATAAATATTTCACGTAAAATAAATTACCTTTAATGACGGTTTTTAATTCAGCCTTGCTTGGATCTATACTATGCAGAGCTATCAATAATTCCGCAGGCGTAATAGGCGATGTATGAGGAACTCCACTGTCATTATTATGTGTCCCAAGTAACCTGTTAAATACCTGAAAAAAATAAATTTATTATGCTTTAATTATGCTTAAGAAGGCAGCAATTAAAGTAATATCTTAAATGCATTATTTACCTCTTTTACGACAATAGGATTTAATTTGATTAATTTTGGTAATGCGGCGATTACTTCTTTCTTTGTGAGTCCATTCAGGACAGGTATTAAAAATCTGACATCTGAAACTCTAGTCTGATATAACTCGCGTACTCTGGCTACTAACTCTGCGCTTGGGGCAGCTGCATACACAAATACAATAATATAAAACAATAGATAAAATACAAATTTAAAAAAAATACATATTTTAAATAATAACATACACTTTTCTGTAAGAATATGTATAATCCTTGTGACTAAAGTTTCAGATCCTTTTGGACAGTTTTCAACAAGTGCGAGGAGTTGTGGACTACCCATACCTAAAGATCTCACTGGCCCTTCTACCAGTCTTAATACAATACGTTTCACATCTGCTCCCATTGACGTATATACTCTAGCTAATCTGTTTATTAAATATACAATATATAATACACAGGATTTTCATACAAATATATCTTATATATGTATATTTAATAATTAAAAAAGAAAATGGTTTTATATCACTTACTCGTGAATCAGATCTTGATGTTCACTGAGAAGAGCAAGATACAATCCTAAGCAGGCACGTGTAGTTGATTCAGTCCACAGACTCTCGATTTGCGGCCTGCCTCTATCTTGTCCGAAAACAATTTCCGGTGGATTATGAAGGCGTAAAAAGCCTAAATATAGTACTGCGTATTCCTCGATTAGTTTACTTAACTCTACTCGGCTGTATAACTGACAAACTAACTGTATTGCAGCTTCTCGTATCTATTTATTAAAATATATTATAACATTTTACTTTATATAGTATCAATATGCATATTTTTAAAAGCATTATACAGCATTATATCATATAATTTTTAATCTTACCGTATTGTTTTCATGTCCAGTATGGCACAATAAAACATTTAAAAATACCAGTTGTTTAGTTGGTCTACGCACTACCATTTCTTTCAGAAGTTGTAATGGTGCAAGACCTCTAGTTTCGTCAGATGATACCATTTTTAAAGCCTCCACAGCATCTTCTGTTATTAATGGTGCTTCCAAATAAAGCCTTTTATAAGAAAAAGTTTTGTGAACAGTTAGTGATTAACATAGATGTTTGTATTTTTATATTTCATTCCCCGCGTGCGTATATGGTTTTCCTAAATTGAATATTACCTGGATAACAAAGTATCACGATCTTTACCCTGAATCAAATCAATAGCTGAAACTAAAGTGCACAATAAGAAATTATATGCCTGATGTGGAGCTTCTTGTGGTTTTGTACATAATGTAGTCCGCCTTTGAAATCCTTGTAGCAATGCATATTCTTCATATAGCCAACCTAATGCTAAATCTAATCGATTTCGCATGTCATCAGTAATATAACGTAAAACAGCTTCTTTAATGTAAGGATTGAAAGTGGCTGCTAGCGTAGTCAGAATCTTGGATCTGTAATATACAATATAAAGAGATAAATTATTAACTATTAGATACAACATAAATATTTGTGTGCGTGTGTGTGTGTGTGTGCGTGCGTGCGTGTGCGTGTGTGTGTATGTATGTGTGTCATATAATAAGAACTTTCATACGTATAATAATTTATGCTCTATTATACCTTACAGTAGCTACACCACCAAAAACTGCAATCTTTTCTGAAAGTAATATCCTATTAACTGCCATCAATAACATCCGTTCTTTAATTTCCTTCGGAAGTGGTTTTGTCACTTCGACTAATTTCAACGCCTTCATACGATTTCTGGCTTTTGCAAGTGATTTCTCATGAGCTTCTAATGATGCTTTTGCTTCTTTCTCTTTCTCCCGATCTTTTTCACGTTTACGCTCCCGCTTTGCCTCAGCTACACTAATTGTGGGATTTTTAATTAAATCTTCCATTACGGCATCTTCTTCTTTATCTCTTTTGTTCTTTTTTGCTTTAGCCTGTTTAATTTGTGTTGCTAGAAGTTTAGCAATTGTTTGACGTTGTATATTAATATCAGTAGTTGCTGTGGGTTGATATTCTCTTTGGAAAATTGTAGTCATAGTATCCGGAACCCATGCCTGTTACATATCGTTCAATACATATTGATAATTTAAATTTTTTATTTTAGAGATAGATTAATATAAAATATAATTTGTAATCATACCATACTATCCATTACCAAATCTGTTGCAATTTCTACACTGAGTCTTTCGGCAATAAAACTTTCAGAAAGTTCAATTAAGTCTGGTAATTTAGGCGCAGGAACAGTAGCCACTTCTGCTTCATCTATTATCACTTCAACTTTTACTCGTTTCGCAGCAGTAGCAGCTATCTCCTTCGATTAATAAACAAATCTTTGAAAATAATAATATGCATAACAAAAATGTATTTACACAAAAATTCATATATATACCTGTTGACGTTTTTTTATCCGACGGACATCTTCTGGTTTTGGATAAGCTTTAATAATTTCCTGCTCTTTTGCTCCAAGTTGAGTCAACTGTTTAGCAATAGTTGAAGCATACTCTATACTAGCAGGATGTTTCATCAATCCAAGAAGTGTGAGTTTTAATTGTTTCTGTACACTAGTTACTTGAGAATCAGACAGTGTTGGTGGTAGATCATGTTGCAATCTTTGTAACGCTACGCATTATGACATAAATTATTAAATCATTCAGAGAACATAAAAAAATTATTATATTAAATAAATAAATATATATGTATATATATAAATATATAAATAAATATATATATATATAAAAGTAAATATATATACCTTGAATTACATTTGACATAAACTGTGGCCTCATTTTGGCAATTAATGCCAAAGATCCCATACATGTCATTAAATTGACACTGCTAACATGTGGAGATCCATGAAATTTAATCAATAAATCCATAACGTGATTTGCTTCTTCCTCCAATTTTCGTCTACGAGCTATTTTCAATGTTAGAGGAATATCCTCGAGAGAGAAATCATCAGGCTTCTTTGGACTGTCGGGATCTGGATATGTCTGTATTAAAATAACGCCCTCAAGAAACTTTACAGCTTGTGTTCTTATTCTGAAATGTAGAATATTTTAACAGCGTTAAGACCATTCCAAATGAAGAGATTATTTTCGATTATTTTTAATCATTCTGCTCACCCATCATTGTCACTGTCAATCATATTAATAATTTGAACTTTAAGAGCACTTAGCTGTGTCCATGCTAATTCCATATCTGTCGTAACAACAGTAGCACTAGCGATCCACTTGAGAGCAGCTCTGAGAATTCTGCCACTGGCTCTAAGAGCACGTTTAGCTACAACCGAAGTTTCATCGGACGCTAATCTAAGGAGTATTTGAACTGTACGAGGGATTACCTCTGGATATTTTATTCTGAAAAAATCAATTATAAAATATATTGTTATTTAAATGTATACTTCCTCTATAAACAAAATTGTATCATAAAAAGAAATAATTGTTGATAATAACCCAGATTCTTCGATAAATCCTGTAATGGTCTTTCTAACTTCAGAGCTTCTATCTATAGAGAATTGTAGAATATCGGTTAAGTAACACTCTAACAAATGTGGCTCCTTATTCAACAAAAGTTCCTGTACTTTACATATGTTTGTGACTTTAATGTCCTCAGTGATACTTATGGAGGCCTCATTTAACCACTCAACGATCTGTAAGAGGAGAAGATATTAAAAGAAAAATTATATCGTTTCAATAATAAAATTTTTCATAATTATTGTGATATAACATATGTAAATTGGATATAATTTAGATTATTTTTATATCAGATTAAAACGCTGTGAATTTCATTATTTATTGCTCTTGGCAGTAAAGTGGTATCTCTAATAAAATAATTGAAATAATTCTTCTCATAAGAATTATAGGACGTTTTTCATTTAGTGACACAAGTGGTTGACACCACCGTCATTCTATCTTTTTTGGAATTCCATGAGTAATAAAGACAGAATATTGGTGTCGACTTGTGTCACCAAATGGAAAGCATTTATATACATTTACATTATAATGTTAGTAACAATTTTCTACTGACTCCGTAAGTGATGCAAAAAAAAAATCATACGCAAAACGTTTCCTTCGATTTTACGAAGTTTGTCATCGAGGATACTATATTTTTATCAAAAAGGTATGAATTGTGAAAGTAATCATTTTTTTTCTTTTAACATAAAAGTGTCTACACGGCAAAATCGTTGTTTCGCCATTAATGGGCGCGTCGTTGTCGACGAGCA